ACAATTCAGATCTCAACTATCCACATTTCTTCCTCTCAAATCTCAACTATTTGCAATTTTCTTTATTTTTAAATTGCATTATACAGTATAAACCTAAATCAATCGACGCAATAAATTTGGAATACGAGATGGTTAAACGAAAAAAATTGTCTACGTCTTCTCCCACCAAAAGATGTGTAGTCTTTTTCAAGATATAAGAAGAAGAATTTTAGGCCGTAACTATATATTTGTGGAATGTCATTTTGTGCTTGAACTTATATGGGATTCCTAACATATTCTAAAAAGTTATTTTGCCTTCGTGTCATTCTGTTAAATATGAAAGTAGCAGCACACTACTCCAGACAAAAATCTGCTTTGATATGATTGTTGAAATGAATTTTTAACTCGGCAAAGGTTAACACCTTATTTATTTTAAATAAATATCATTTAAAAAAATTATATTCTATAGATACATTTTAAGGTTTATAACAAAATATTTAATTTTGGTTACCTCTTAGCCCTAAGCCACTAAATACGTTAATCAGTTACACTATTTTCTTTTTCTCTCTACTTTGATACATCTCATTCTCTTCCCTCATCCCATTAAAATTTCCGATCTCCTCCTTCTTCCACCGAATTTGTGCAAAGTCCACTTCAAAGATGCTGATTTCGAATTGTTTAGTTCGTATGATACTTTTTCTGAAGTTGCTATTACTATGATTTAAGGGTTTGGGGAGTATAAATTGCCGCATACAATTCGATGTGCATGAAGAAGAGAAAGAAGATGATCGTGAAACGGAAAACAAACAAGAAAGAGATCGACGAAGAAATTGATAGGGAAAATTGGTTTATTACATCCAAGAAACAGAAAACTCATGATGTTTTCGGGGTTCCTCCTCTTAGAGAATTCAGAGATTTTAGCTTTCAATTAAATGTCAAAGAGAGGAAATTTCCTGATTTCCTATCCTCAGTTCAAGATTATCCATTTTCAGTAGAAAGTAAATACCGTATACCAAGTCCAAGATCCCATCTTTTTCCTGAGTACTCATTCAAATTGAGGAAGATCAATGTATGATGCTCGACATTTAATTGATTTTCTGTTAATATATTTCAATGTATTTTCATATATTTTATTGTATTCATTGTCTTTTTTTTCATTGTAATTCAATGTATCTCGTTATATTCCATGTATTTCATTGTATTCATTGTCTTTTTTTTCATTGTAATTCAATGTATCTCGTTATATTCCATGTATTTCATTGTATTCATTGTCTTTTTTTTCCATTGTATTTCAATCTATCCCGTTGTATTCTATGTATTTCATTATATTCACTGTCTCGCTATGTGCCATGAATGTATTCATATGTTTTTTTTTAATTAATATAATTTATGTATTCAGATGTATTATATAATTTCTCTGAAGATTGCTATATTTTTTGGGTATTTTTCGGTTGAGAATCTTTTTTATAACTGAAAATACAAATTTTGTTTGTTATAATTGAGTTTTTTGAGTTATATAGGAGTTTATTATGTTAATTGATTCACTTTCCGTTTTAAAAATAGTGTAATCCCCTATTTAACGCCGTCAATACAGTCGAATACAATAATCTGTCCGGCTGTAATCCCATGTTTCACTCCATGAATACAGTCGAATACACTCGAATACAACAACTGATTAGCTGGACTTCTCTGATTCACACATATTTTTGTTACTGTATTCATGAATACAATAGCTTAAATACATTAAATATATCTTATAACCACAAAAAAGGTATCTATAATCCGTAATATAGCAAATGGTATCTATAGATGATTAATTACTACTAAATGATAGTGCTTTATGAAAATTTCTGTTCCTGAAAAGGCCCAGGCCTTAAAATTGTTGGTGGTCCTGATCTAGTCCTTTACTCTTGCCATGTGCTTGTATTTCAGCCCAAGTGCTAAAATGTGGCCCAAATTTCATGGTCCAATTACGCTACCCTCTTTGTTTCTCTTTTCTCTTTTTGTTCTTTTTTGGCTAAGCATTAGTAGCAAGTGTATGGCCACTGATTTGAAGGTTGAACGTGATTGAGTGATTGTAAGGAGAGTGCTTTTTTGGTTTTCCCTCGTGAAATTAAGGCCCTCTTTGTGCTTAATTTTTTTTCCCTTTTCTCAAAAAATTTTAAAAATGTGTTCGTCCATGAAATTTTATATTTTTTGGATCTTTTTCAAAAATGAGTTTTTTAAAAATTCAAAATTTTCAAAAGTTTTCTTTTCCATTCACAAAATTATAATATTTTTTCAAGTGAAATACATGTCCAAACATAATTTCAAATTTTAAATATTATTTTTTAACTTAATTTCAAATACTTTTTTTTTCTTCAAAAATTATAATTTTTATGTCCAAACGCCCACTTTGTGTTCTTGAAATGAATTTTCTTCTCACTTTATAGATAATGTTATAGTTATGTGTAAGAGGATCTTCGTAATTTAAATAAGAGCTTATTAGTGATTTTCCTTTCCATTTTACGACAACTTGATTAGCATACAAATTAAAAACGAGCTCGGATTAGCTAAATTCGTGAAAATAGCACTGGCTAGCCAGTTTTCGATAAAATAGTGAGCGTTTGTAGAGTCATTGAAAAATAGTCACTATTTTGTTGTAAAATAGAAAGTTCCGGCATAATATACTAGAGATTGGCGCACCTGTGTATGAACTTCCAGCATACGAAAAGGTCCGGCATAATACACAAGAGATTGGAGTACCGGTGTATGAACTCTAGTATATTATGCTGGAAGTTCATATGTAAAAAATTCGAACTCCAGTATATTATGCTGGAATATTTTTCGAATTTTTAACAGTGTTTTTGTTCATATTTATTTTTATATCAAAAGTGGCTAAATTTCGATTACTTTTAAAACTGTGATTATTTTTCAATTACCATTTGTAGATCTAGCTATTTATGAATTTCGCGCTAAATTCGCCTCGTAGTGCTAGAATTTGGACTAGCAATAACCCCCAACATTAGTACGATCCATATTAGAATCGCATGTGTTTAAGGACTTCAAGATGGCCACATATTTAAATAGCTCAATCTGTTAAATTATCTATGTTTCTTTTGCAAGTTAGATAATAAGATATAATCATTTATTTGGATGATAAGAAAGTTGTTGGTGATGCTATCTTATCATTTATCTTGTGCATGCTATTCTGCAACTTCATCCAAGGGAAACAATATATAGGGAGAAATTCAAAAATAATCAAATTTATAAGTGGTCATTCAAAAATAGTTACAGTTTCAAAAGTAATCGAAATTTAGCCACTTTTCACGTAAAGATAAATCTGAACGAAAACACTGTTCAAAATCCGAAAAAATACTCCAGCATAATATACTAGAGTATTATACTGGAACTCCAGTATAATATACTGGAGCTCCAATATACCGGTCCAACATAATATACTAGAGTTTGGAGCATCGGTGCTCCAGTCTCCAGTATATTATACTGGAGCTAGCAAAGTATATCGCTCCAGCATAATATACTAGAAGTTCATACACAGGTGCACCGAACTCCAGTATATTATACTGGAGCTAGCAAAGTATATCGCTCCAGCATAATATACTAGAAGTTCATACACAGGTGCACCGAACTCCAGTATATTATACTGGACCGGTCTCTGTTGCAGCAAAATATAGCTATTTCTTAGTGACTTGGCAAACGCTGGCTATTTTTGAATGACCAATCCAAAAACTGATTAGACCGTGCTATTTTAACCAATATATAGGCTCAAAAATTAAGAAAATTTTGGGCTTCTTATGGGTCGTGAGCCCACACCCAATTCTGCCTTTAGCCTTATTTACGCTTCTTAACGCACGCACCATAAAACAAAAGGAAAAATAACACTGTATAACCGCTATAAAAATAATAACCGAATATATATATATATATATATATATATACACACACACATTCTGTAGTTTTGTTTTTTCTGTATATAAAAAAGTTTTTGGCGTAGGCTAAAAGTGACAATACTCCAAAAAATACGACAACACTCATTCCTTAAGATAAAATTCATAAATAGCCATTATTTGGTCCTGTAATTGTAAATTAGCCATTGTAATGGAGTCTTACATGTGGAATTTGAAAGGAATTATTACATAATAGCGGGCTAGATTTAAAATTTACTTTTTCTAACCGATATACATAGATTATACATAGTTATACATATATTATATATGAATTATGCATATATTATACATTCACCTACTAATTTTAGTTTAAGAGATAAGGTGGTTAATTCTTCAATTTGGGCACTCCATGATGATTACTATTTTTCAAACTATAGAGCTGAAAAAGTGACTACCCGCGCTATTACTACTATTTATAGTTGGAGTTTTTTCTTTTAGGTGTTTGAGTTTCAATTAGAAGGAAAATGCTGACTCGAAATTACTTCTTCGAGGTGATTCCAAAAAATTTAATCGTGTCCAAAAAAAGAGATAGTAACAATTTAAAATCCTCCGAGTCCAGGCCGATCCCTGAGCTTTTGGGCTAATAACAAGATGAGAGGGCCCAAAATCGTAGGATTACTCCAGAAGCAATTTGGGCATTTTCTAGCGTTACAAAATGGGAAAAACTATTTCATTACAAATTTTATGATTCTAACTTCATAGGAGTATTAGTTACTTGTAACTATTATAGTTACTCTTCATCAACATTTTAACACGGTATATCACGTACCGTAGAAACATCCTATTGTAGAAATGCAGGGTAAGGCTGCGTATAATAGATCCTTCTGGTCCGTCCCTTCCCCGGATCCCGCGCATAGCGGGAGCTTAGTGCACTGGGCTGCCCTTTTTAATGGAAACAGCCTCTTGCAGAAATGCAGGTAAGACTGCGTACGATAGATCCTTGTAGTCCGGCCTTTCTCCGGACCTCGCGCATAGCGGGAGCTTGTACACCGAGCTGCCCTTTTTATATCACATACCGTCTTACCAACACATCAAGTGCTTATTACAAATTTCAAACAACTTTATCTAAACACGTAGTAATACTTATTTATAACATTAGTTTAAGCACTTGATACTTATGAAATAGTCTCAATCAGTTAAGCCAAAAGAGCTCTTAACCTGAACAAGAACAGATACAAATCTATATGGATTGTCTTTGATTTAAACAAGAGTACCACAAAATACTAGACAATAATTTACATAGATGAAGATGGAACCCAAACAAGATTATCTGCAGGAAAAAAGTGACAAACAGGAGAACTTCCAGGTTGAACTTTCAATACACGAAAAGCAACATGGTCATGATTCCATTGTTTTGTATCCATATGACAAATTGCAGCTGCTTCAATTCTGTCTCCATTTTCTCCCAACAATGAAATCTTAAATAACTTATTTTCTCCCTTTTGCATATGGCAATAGAATACAGCATAAGGATAAGGCAAAGTGTGACAAGCAACAATTTTAGGTGCTAAAATCTCCTTTGGTTTTTGTAAAATTGTGTAATTTTGTAAAGTAACAGGGGACTTTTTTATAAAATCAGTGGTGTAGACCTTTAATTGGGTGTTATATCCTAAGATTTCTTTAGCCCAATCAAGCATAGATTCTAAGGAAGTAGCACAGAATTTAGATTCTCCTTTCATTGCTGAGATTTCACAGTGGAAAAATGTATCTTCTATTGCTTTTGCTTGTGGTGATTCTTTAGAAAATGAGAAGAATTCAAGAAGATAAGGAAGATTTGTTGAAGAAAATGGGATAGAATCTGCTTCTTCTCTAGAAAGTAATTGAGGAGAAGTTGAAGGATTTTTTATAGCAAAAAAAAGTGGCATCTTTTTTCCAATATTTAAATCTTTAGGAGTGAAGAAAATATTGAGTTGGGGATTTAGAGATTCCATTGGAGAAATTGATGTTTGCTCCTTCTCTTGTATTTTTAGCATCCCATGCATGTTGTCACAGTCTTTGGCTATGTCTCTGGCTCTGCTTTCACTCAAAAACTGCAAAAATACACCAATTTTTTTTCATGTTAGTGTAAATAATAACTCCAACTTGTTTAGAATTGAAGAACAAATAAAATAGGAATTCTCTACAATTATACTGTGTACCAGTATATCGCTTATACTGTAGAGACAAGAAATAGAGGACATCAATTATCTTCATAGACCAAGAATTACGAGATCATTATTCCGAATGAAGTACGAAATCCATCGTTTTGCAAAAGCAGATGCACGGTTCAACTGGATCCAATATTTTTTTTTTATAAAATAGAGGTATATATACGAAAAATCACTAATAAAGCAACAAATATCTAGGTTTGTACTCAAAATTACAAAAGAGGTTTATTGACGAGAACATAGAAGTTACAACAACAACAACAAACCTAGTTTGATCCCATAAATGGGATTTGGGGAGGGTAGTGTATACACAGACCTTAACCCTGCCTCATAGAGATAGAGATGTTATTTCCGATAGACCCTCGGCTCAAGAGACGAGAACATAAAAGTTGAACTGATCAAATTTAAATTATGAATTCACTTCTATTTTCGATGCATGAATTATTACCTGGAACAGGAGAAGTGCATGAAGTAAGATGGAAAGAGTGGGTCTAAACTCCATGATTGATCAGTTCTCTGCTTGAAGCTCCCTCTACTTGATGTCTGATTATCTGTTTCTAAAATAGATAGAAAGTGAAACTATGTACTAAGAAGAGTTCTTTTCTCTTCTGTCATGGTCATCTCTTGGTCATTCTCATTCAGTATATATAAATATAAATTTGCTTTCAAATTCGTTATTTTCCCTTTTACTTTTGGGTTATTTTATTTTAAAAGAGTAAATGAGATTAGTAATTTGAAAGGACAGCCCAGTGCACTAAGCGGCACGAGGTCTGGAAACACGGTTCGAACCCGTAACCTTTTGATCACATGGCAACAACTTTACCAATTACCCCAAGGCTCCCTTTTAGAATAAAAATATAACCAAATACAATATGTTAACATAAGAAAAAATCTTTGTACGACCAATATATAAATGTCGGAGTGTATTTCTTATAAAAAAAAACTATTGAAAAATAAGCCAATGGGAGGAGGAACATGGCAACTTGAGTCACTTGACAGCAAAACTTGCTAAAAACAATAATATAAGTAGTAATCTAAGATTAATGTACCCAATCACATTACTATCCAACAAGTCAGCGTTACGAAGGAAATAATACTATTTCTGAAAACCTACTTTTTTAATTATCAGAGCATAAGGTCAACTGAACAGTTCAGTTTGCAATCATGATGCTGAAATTTTAAAATAAAGATGTGTATCTGCCACTGTTTACTACTACTAGTTCATAAAATTACTATAGGACAAACGAATAGAAAATACTAAAGGACAGAGATCCTCTTTTTTATTTTAGGATATAAATTATAAAAGCTGCGAGATCGGATTAATTCGCATTCGCACCAGAATTTTATTACTTCATGAGTTAAGTCTTTCCTACTAAAATTAATATTTGATTAAGAATAGAGGAATACTTACTACTCGACTAAAATATTTAATAATAATGATAGATTAAATTACATTAATTTGAACTGACAAAAGAACTCATAATTAATCTACCACCACTGGTAGGAGAAATAATTAACTAATAGTACTTATGAAATTGAGAAGAACTTATACATACAGAGTACAGACAATAACCTTTTGAATTATGTCTAGTTGGTACTAAACGACAAGTTGATTAGCTTGTTCATTAAATTTGGAGTATGGTTTTTTGATGATTTTAGATCATTTAGAAATTTTTATCCCATCAATTAATAAAGTTAAGGACAAAGTTTTAGAACTTATCAATCAGGCTATAAATCTGTCTTAAATTAGTGAATAACCCCCCCACCCCTTTCCCAAGGTCTGATCAATTGCCATTGCCATAATGGTTTCATATTTTTGTTGCTAATCTTTTTTTTCAGTGATAAACTAATAAGTTGACTATACATTCCGTATATATAATGTAACAGGTATTTTCAAATTATATTTTAGTAGTATTTCTTATCAAATTTATAAATTATAATCCACCGACTTATTAATGTTTAGGTTAGAGCACAATAATACATGTATTGTCTTAACAGAATTAGGAGCACAAGGTGCCACAGTCCACACTTAAGGCTAGTTTGGTACGAGGGATAAAGGATAATTAATCTCGAGATAAAATTGGAAATGGTTATCCTATATTTGATTGAGATAAAATCGTGGTATAACTAATCTCGTAATTAGTTATCCCGTGATTATAGTGTTTTTTTATTCCAGAATAAATAATTCCGAAATAATTAGTTATGAGATAACTTGTTTCTCAGGACCCTTGTGAATAAATCAATATGTCATTGTTAATGTTTCTACTACTGTCTACTGAAATTATTGACAAATTCAGAAAATCTTGTAATATATTCTCAATTTCTCATAATTTATTGTCTCTCAGCTTGTGCCAGGGTCAAATGGTAAAGTCAACCTTGAGAACCACCTAATGCATCCATTGGACTTCTTAAGCCTTCTATACAGCAATTATTTCTTTTATTTTAATCTTCTTATTTTGTCTTTCCAACAAGATGATTAGCCGACAACCAAGTATAATATATACATAGGTAATATTGAATCTATATACAAAATTACTAGATTTGGCGAACCTGAAAGCTATACTCTAGCTCAACTCCTGCTTCTATATCATCTCTAAACGTATGCTTCTCTAATTATAAAATGTAAGATAAAAAAATAAAAGGGCGATAGCACAGCATACATGGTATGAGTTGTTTTTTTAATAATTTAGTTTTGGATGATCATATGGGTTCGGGATTTCAGGCTTATGGGTTCGAGATTCTAATAAATTCAAGTTACTTGTTCTAAATTAATAATTTATATATATTCATTAAATTTTTAAAACAAATATAGATGTTCGAACAAAAGCTACTATATTCGACCGAGCTCATTATCGACACTCTAGCTTGGCCCCTATTTGGTGGTCAACGTCCATGTTAATCGTGTTCAACGGCATATATAGTGGTAAGATAGGATAAGATGAAATAGAATTGACATGAAATAATGACTCACTCCTTTTTCCTATTTGGGAACTAAAAAGGAAATTACAAATTCTTTTTTCTTTCTCTTAATTTGTTTTAACGTTTTCACTTTCAAACCATAGGAAAAGAACGTTAGACTATGATAAAACTATCTTATCTTACTCAGGGGTGGCCCTACTCTAAAGCAGGTAAAGCCACTATTTTAGGTCCCATATTTATGGGGCTCTATTTTTTGTTACACCTAATATATTATATATTCCCTATATTTCAATTTAGATGAGTTAATTTGGCTCTGCACAGAGTTTAAGAAAGAAAAAAGGAAAACTTTTAAAACTTGTGTTCTTAAAAGTTTAAGGGGTAAAATAATTTGCAACTGGTATGATTTCTGCTAAGAAAATTGCAGCATAAATGAAAATTAAATCCGAACTTCATAAGAAACGTGTGTAATCACGCCCAACTATACCTTATAAAAAGGACAAGCGGTTGTTGTAAATATAATCAGGGTATTTAGCCCAGAGTCGAATCCCACGGGGAATTAACCTACCAACTACTGTTGTCAGACTCACTGAATTCTCCGTAATCAACTTTCCAGATATTTTGAATAACACTTGGTGATATATCTACTAACTATAACTAAATAAAATTAAGTAAACTAAGAGCTAACTATGACTGAGTTGTAAACAAATAAGAGAAGGATCTAAGGTTGTGATTTCCCATATTGATGGAATCCTTTCCTGTTATGTTTCGCATAGACTTGCCTAATTGTCTCTATCAATCATGAGCACTCTTACTACCGTAAATCTCTCCCGAGTAATTATGACAGTTTACTAGAAGCCCTCTCCCGAGTAACGCTAGTTGGCTTTTCTTACAGCTCACTTAAATTGCACACAAGATTTCGTTATCCCTAATCCCACCTTTAAACCCTCGGTTATTGATTCCTCATATACTTTGGGAGTGGTGTTGTTCAACAACTACCCAAATATGTACTCTCTCCCGAGTAATACATATTAAATAGACACAGCTAATTGATGATCCTATCAATTAACTACAACAAGAACGTAGTTGAACAAATAGAGATTAAACTGGGTAAACTATATTAACACAATAAGAAGTCCATCCCTCAACAGGTTCCATCAAAACCCTAGACTAAATAATTAACTACTCATAGCATAACAAGATAAAATCATAAAATTATTCATAATTCGCAAATAATGATAACAAGAAGAAGATTGAAAAACTCTAATGGTGTCTTGATCTTCTCACACTTGTTCTTGCCTCCAATTCAGTCTAAAAACAAGCTTAAACTTTACTTGGGCGAGTTTGTTGAGTTTATATAGGGTTAGGATAAGTTTTCCATGATTTACACTTAAGTCCCTAAATTTCTGGGCAATTCCAAAGTCGACCGCGGCCGCGGCAGAACGCAGCGCGACCACGGTGAGATGCATCAATTCTGCCTCGCGTTTTTGGTCCACCGCGTTCCAGCCGCGGTCGCGGTAGCCTCTTGTCCAACCATTCTTTGCCTTTTTCTTGCTTATTTTCATTTGGGTTCTTCTTGATTGGCCTCATATCCACATTATTGATTCCAAAACACTCCATAGTCTCTTCCTAACTTGGATTAGTTCCTGCAAAGCAAAAGAATACTAATTAGAGTATCTTGTTATCATTTTGCATTTAAAACAACAATAAAGTATGGTTCATTTAGAGTGTAAATAACGTCTATATAGCCTACTATCAGTGTGATATATAGAAAACAACAATTTGATGAGAATATTGATATTGAATTCGTAAAATCTCTCGAAGAGTCCTTCAGAGTTAATTACTTTTTATACATAGTAGACAAAAGTATTTTTCACTTCAAAATAAATTTGAAGAATTCGAAGCATATGAAAATATTTTTTGTTTTCTACGCGTTTAAAACTTAGATCACTAGATAATAGAAATTTAGAAAATTACTATCTTAATCTCGAGTATTCCTTGAAGCATAATAATCAATCTAATATTGATGGTTTAGATTTATTTTCTGAATTAAAAGTATTAAGAAAAATAGTAAAATTGGAAGATAACAGTTTGATATACTCTATCAAATAAAAATATTTGATTCTTTACCAAATACCTATATTGCTTATAGAATAATGTTAATGACTCATGTTACCGTTACTTCAGCAGAAATAAATTTTTCGAAATTAAAATTGATAAAATCTTAACTAAGCTCAATAAAGTCTCAAAGAGATTAAATGGATTAGTTGTATTGTCATTTGAGAAAGAACTATTAGAAAAAAATTGATTATAAAAAAATTATTAATAACCTTGCATCTAAAAAAAACTAGAAAATTGGTCTTTAAATTAAAAAATTAAGGCCCCTCATAAAATTTGGCTTTAGGTCATAAAATTTGTCGGACCGCCCTGATCTTACTATATCTAAATGTTTTCTTGACTTTTTTCCAAGCCATCACCACTACATCACACTTAGAATTCTAGTAATGCTAGTTGAGGCATATTTATAGACGGTTATGTAGGTTCAATTGAACTAATTATTTTCAATATAAATTACTTAATATATGGACAATATATATATATATCAACTAATTATATATATGTATCACACTCACCCTAAATCAACTAATTCTAAATTTTGAATTCGTTTCTCATTGCTCTAGCTTGTTGGTGCTAGCTAACTGTTAAGCATCGAAATCTTAATGAAGTGCGTTCTGCTTCAGCAGCACTATTTTGTGTAATTTATATGAATAAGTGTTAGCCATGAAATGTTGAAAGTACATTTGGACTTTGATAATTTTCATGATGTAAACTGTAGTAACGAAACAGGTGTACGGCGAGTACCGTTTTCAAATAGTCTAAAAGGATATGCCAATATAGGTCATTAGTGGGTAGATGATAGGCTTTTTGGATGTGCACAAGAAAAAGAAGTCTTCTCAATGTCTCAAGTCCACTATATCATGTTTCTCTTTATTTCACTTTTTCTTAAGGTTTTCTCCTATGGTATTCCAATACTCCTTTTGGAGCTTCGATTAATTGAATTGGTGCTTTGTAAGCCTTAGCGTAACTGATAAAATTGTTGTCATGTGACCAGAAGGTTTCGGGTTCGAGTCTTGGAAATAGTCTCTTGCAGAAATGCTGGGTAAGACTGCATACAATAGATCCTTATGGTCCGGCCCTTCCCCGGACCCCGCGCATAGCGGGAGCTTAGTGCACTAGGCTGCTCTTTTTTTATGCTTTATAAGACTCATTAAAAAGAAAATATTTTCTTATTTTCAAGGGTCGAATTCAAAATTATCCCATCAATAACCCTTAGTATTCTGTATCTCACTTTTTATATGCTATGACTTTTGTTATGTCACATAAATAGTTGAACTACAAAACAAAAAAGTTAGTCAAACTATGTGCAGAATCTAATTGAGGACATCTTGCGTTGATGTACATCTTCATAGATGACTTCAGTCTATGACAACAACCTTACCTTCTCCACTAAGAAATCAAGATATACAAATTTCTTGCTACAAAAATAAAGGCCCAAATCGTCCTTTCTCTATGGGAATTAAAAAGATAAAAACTTAAAAGGAATATTCCTCGAATGGGTATTTTAATTACACTTAGTGGCGATGCAAAGCAGTAGTAGGGGGTGTTAATATAGTTGTTTTCGTTGAGAATTTTTTAAAAATATACTCCCTCCGTTTCAATTTATGTGAACCCATTTGACTGAGCACAGAGTTTAAGAAAAGAGAGAAGATTTTTGAACTTGTGGTGTAAAATGAAGCACATATATTTTGTGTGGCTATAAATCATTGCATAAAAGTAAATTGTTTTCAAATATGGAAAGAGGTCATTCTTTTCGGCACGGACTAAAAAGGAAATAAGTTCACATAAATTGAAACGGATGGAGTATAAGATAATATTATGTTGAGGCTGTCGCATTTTTTACCCTACACTTAAACTTATATTATGATCTGTGAAAAGCCATTTAGGTGAATGAAAATTGAATATTAGAACATTTTTGCTGTTGAAGCTGTCGACTTTCTTATATACTAGTAATGAATAATGACAAATGACAGGAAAAGTAGAGACAATGAATTTAAAAGTTTGTTACTTAATCGTGATTTTGGTGCTTAAAAATATGTTGACATAATTAGGTTCAATCCCCTTGGGACAAAAAGTTTGTGGTTTTAATTTCAGAGTCACTCAAGTCCAAAAGGATTGGGTACAACAAGCATGGAATGGTGCCTAACCTTCAATAGTGGAGCTTTATCAATTATATTCTTCCCTAATAAGTCAAGTCGAATAGTTATTTAATTATTTGTATTTTTTGTTTATTCTCCTTGTATACGATATAAATAATTAAATCGAATATCTATCGCGTAAGGCCAATTAAAGAAACAATATTTCTTTCAGAAATTTTTCTATTTCAAAGGCTCGAAATTTCGAATTCAAAAAATTTCGAGTTAAAGAGGAACAGAATCATTTGTCCACAACGTCAACGTTTTCTTTTATTATTTCTAGCTTATCACTACCACAGTGCTATTATATATTTGATCATTTAGTTTTATAAAAAGATTCGACAAAAAGGGAGAAAGATTAGTGGTAGACAGTGCAAAAGTGTTTGTTTATAGATCTTGTCGTCTATAGTTTGTGCGTTTGTACTGTCATTTTAACTCCTAGCCTTAAAAAATTAATTGCATGACAGTATATGGGTACTTTTTCTCGTGTTGATTGGCATAAACCTTTTTTTTTTGGGTCCCAAAAGTTGACCATGATCAAACATTGTTTGCTCCTTATGATCATGACAAAAAATAATTTAAGTTGTTTATACTTAGAGCATAATCTTTTCTGACTTTAAAACAATTCAATCTTTCTAGAAACACCAATCCTACACCTAAGGCAGCTTCCTCTTGTTTGTTAGGATGACTAATTATATTTAAGCATGGTTTGTATACACTATTGATTATACAATAAGAAAATAATTCGTAAATCATCATCACAATGTGTTGATTATTATTAATATCAGCGTATCACAATTTGGGGTTATGAACACAATAGATCTATGTCCACGTATGTAGATTAAATGATGTTTTGGAGTACCGTGAGGAGATTTTTTCTTACACTTAGATATAAAGTTGGCCGGTAAATTACCATAAGAGAATCTGGTGAGATGAGTAAGATCCTTACACGCTTATCAAAAGTTTTTAATTTGAGCCTTATGAATGGACATTCATAATAGGAAGTACTACCTGTTTAATGAAACTTACACAATGTGTGTTTGAGACATATTGTAATATCCAACTTATTCGGTTATGATTGCGGAGACTTCCACTAAAGAGTAATTCGGTGCACAAAGTATTCCGTATTTATGCAGAGTGTGAGTAAAGGCTACACTCCAAAAAATATAATATACAAATAACTTAGTCTAATGCAAGCATTATTGGTTTTGACCTAGATCCACTAATCGGCTATAATACGAGGTCAAAAGTTTACTTTTTTGTTTATAATTGTCATAGCCTTTGGGGAAAATCTGAAGAGGAGTCCAAAAGGAGAAAATATTCTACAAGCACATAGTAATTTAACAAAATTTTAGAAATGGCCACACCCAAAACTTCCATTACCTTCCTAGACAAACTCTAAATTTGTGAATGTTGACTTCCATTTTAAATATCTCAANTATAGTAGATGAGACTTCAAATTGTATATTCTTTGGGGGAAAATAAATTATACATTCGCTTTCAAAATAATAGCCAGGAAACAAAATAATTATATATATATATATACACACACATTCTTTTGTATATTATATACAATATATATATAACTTTTATATATTTTTACAACTACCGAATATAAATAATTTTGATCATGGACTAAAATGAATTTTGCCTTTCTTTTTCTTTCTTTTCTTGTGGATCTGGTGCCTAACAATTTGCGAAAGGTAAAGGCATGTTAATTATCTTCTGGTTCCAAACTCTACATGTAATAATTTAATTTAAGTCACTTATCATGAATTAGTCATCTTAAAAATAGAGCAAGTAACTTGTACCTCCGGTATAAAACTAAAATTCTTTTATTATCCTCCTAAAATTCTATTAAGGGTGACCATATAATGACAGTGGCCTTGCATAAGGAGAAAACCCCTGCATACTATAAGAGGAAATACCAATTATTTTCTCTCTTATTTTATTTATTTCTTATCTCTTTAAATAGAAACTGATCGACAGCTTAGGGATCAGAAGAACTATCAATCATTTTCTTTTACTTTTCTTATTTATTTTTAATCCAACATAAAGTATTATTTTTTCGTCATTATGGACTGTCTATAAATAGGAAGTCAGACATTAGAAAGTCTACAAAATTTGCAAAGCCAAAGAATGTCAAGTGTATACTTCAACATGAGATCTCTCTCTATCTTCTTCCTCCTCTTCTCTCTCACTTGGGTAATTTTTCATATTCTTCTAATTTCTCTTATCTAATCTGCATATTTTAGTTTCTTCCAATTTTATGCCTTTTAATTCCTTTAACAAAAAAAAAAAGCAGTCCGGTTCACTAAGCTCCTATTATGCGCGGGATCCGAGAAAGGGCCGGACCACAAGGGTCTATTGTACGCAGTCTTACCCTGCATTTCTTCAAGAGGCTGTTTTCACGGCTCGAACGACCTCCAGATTTTTAGTTTCTTTCAATTTCTGCCTTTTAATTCCTTTATAAAAAAAGGGGCAGTCCGGTGTACTAAGCTCCCGCTATGCGTATGGTCCGCGGAAGGGTCAGACCACAAGAGTCTATTGTACGCAGCCCTTACCATAATCCGTGATCTTCTGGTCACATGACAACAATTTTATCAGTTACGCCAAGGCCCCTTATTTTAATTCCTTTATAATTTTATTTAATTATTACTTTTTTGTGATTCAGTTTGGCTATGCAAGAAGTGATCCAGAGGAATATTGGAAGAGTGTAATGAATGGAGATCCAATGCCTAAAGCACTTACGGACCTTCTTCATAATCAGTACCCAGATTTTCCTGTAGAAAGGAATAAAGACAGATTTCTTCGAGATTTTGATTTGAAGCCTAATATCATTATTTATCATAATGATGTTGATATATATCCTAAGAGACCAAGGCCTACTGCTAAGGATGATATTTTTTCAGAAAATAAAGAAGCAGAAAGGAGAGAACCTGTAAATCCAGGAAATTAATTCTGCTTATGTCCTTTTTTTTTAGTTAGTTACTTATATATTAAACTTTGTGTTGATTAATCTGTTGTCTAGTTGGTATTTGTGATTATACGGTAATTTTTTTAATGAGGATTTTGAGTATTAGATGAAAAGGTTACATTTCAAGGGCTGAACATACATATAAATCATCCCAAAATTATTTGGATGACTATTTTTAATTTATTTTTACGGCAAAAAAAAAAAGACACGTGAATTTATTTTACTTGAATTTATATACCAAATGTGTACCTAGAACGATGAATTAAGCAAATTATCATATTTGAAATTTACAAGTTGAATCTGGAACAATGGGTACCTAACTGTTCCAGGCATCAATTTGATAAAATATATAGTTGACTTTCTACAGGCTTTAATTTAATCCTTCACTGTGTTTGTTCATGTACTACTATAATAAAATAAAGTAGTTGAGCTTAATGACAGCACGCAAAAAATGAAAAAAAAATATACTGTATTAAATAAATAAATAAACTTAAGGAACACCAGATTGACTTTCAGAGCAAGCTTCGATGATCACTGCTCGAAACATTTACAACCCTCGTTCCTAAAAATCTAATAACATTGTTTTAAAAAAATTTAAATGGTAATATCACAATACCAAAAAAGAAAAGAAAGTACAGTAAATTTTTATAAATCATTTTAATGTAAAAGATAGCTCAGAGATAAGGCCTACCTTAGTATAGTATACAACTATACAATTTTAACTTTTTAAAGTTTAATTAATGTACTGATCGTGTATAGTATATTTCCACAATTCATTTATATATAAGGTAATAAAATTTCATGATAAATATTAAGTGATAAACTGATAAAATAATACTAAATGTCTTTAATAGTTTAAATATACTAATTGTGTAAAAAATATTTACATTGTCCGTGTATATAACTTAAATTCATAATAAATTTATTTAATCTTTTTGAAAACAATAGATGAATTTTCTTAAGTTTGCAAATTGTAAGATATTTATCATATTTTATTTTTTACTTCGCTTTGATTATATTAACCAAGTAATTAAATTTTTTGTGGAACTAAGTACTATTTTTTTTTTTTTTGATTTTCCACCCGGTGTCCGGTATCCGCATTGGAGCCCAACTATATCCGGATTCGCGTTGCATAGGGCCCCATTCGGGGGGAAGCGCTCTCTACCAAGAATTTTTCCATACCCAGGGCTCGAACCCGAGACTTCTAATTAAGGGAGGAGCAGTCACATCCCCCGCACCACATCCTTTGATGGTGGAACTAAGTACAATCGAACAAGTAACAATGATTATTTGGTAATTTACCGTGAATCATTTAGTTGTCTTCTTTGGAGTGTTGTTTTATTAAGCCATCTCCAACCCTCCACCATTTCCCCATAATGGGGGCAATTTTTAGCATAATGGAGTTCCATCCCCAAAATGGGGGATGAATAGTGTTCCTCCAAATATGGAGATACTATTCATCTTCCCCATTACTAATCATGCATATTTTATTATTATTTATTATTTAAATCTTTTAATTTATTTATTTATATATACATAATTATGTTTATGTAATATTTTTATAATGTTATTTTACATCTTAACTTTGGCGTATAATTTTGATAAATTAATTTTCGTGCATTTATTATTTTTATGTAAAATTGTAAGTTAATTTTATTATAAGTTATAATTGTACAAACAATACATAATCATCTCTAAAATTGAATGGTGCAAATATAAAATATTAGATGTTGCTAAAATTGAAATGTGTGAGTATAAAATATTAGATGTTTCTAAAATCGAAAAGTGAAAATTGAAAATACATTAAATTAAAATACACAAAAATTAAAACTGCGGTAAATAGCATAATAACGTAGTAGGGAGGCATGTCGTTTCCAGATAAACCAAAATCATTTTAGTATTGAGTGAATGTGGCCGTGGATTGTGTGGTTGTGAATATTGTTGACTTCTTTTATACATTATTCGTTGTTGTTCTTGTTGCATAAATTCACAACGAGTCGGATCGATGATAGAATCCACATCCATCATTAAAACTTTATTTTCTTCTTTCATTTCTTTTCTTCTTAGCTTCTCTTTTTGAACAGTCAAAACTTCTTTTTTTGCCTCGGTTGCATTATTCATCGCCTCTACCATCCGATTATTTTCTGATTGGATTGTCTTCATATAATCTTCATCAATTTTTCTCTTTATTTTTGCTTTCTTCACCCCACTAGTCCATTCTGATAATGTGGAATCACCTGCAACATCCTCATTTAAATTTAGTGAAAATGATGATAAGTTAGGGGATGATAGATAGGGTGAATTAGGGGTAGGATTCTCAGACTCCGATGATATATTAGCATAGCCTTGCTTTCTTGGTTTTTTTCTTCCAAAATCGCCATCGTTAAATTTCTCAAAATCCTTCATTATAACCCACAAATGATCAAATTTAAAACCATTTTTGAAGTTCGGATCTTGTATAAGTAAAGCTTTTGCTTGTGTAAGCTGCAATATTAAAAAAATAGTAAGTAAATATATATACAAATAAAATATAAGCAACTACAAAATAAATACTCACAATATCCTACTCAGAAGCACCACTAGGAGGCAAATTTTCTACTTGATGTACACATCCGTTTAATTTTCTTACTGCCTTCTCAATCATGGAAATTAAAAAATAAAATTGAAATAAAAAATAATAATATAATATAGAATAGAGAAGAATATAACAAAAATATTCTTTTTTGGGGAAAAAAATTAAGGATTGGTAGGAGTAAGTGTCACACCTCCTTTTTACCTACACCCCGCAAAGGGGCGTAAAAGAGAGTTTTTCCAATTAAAGGACAATCGAAACGGAATTTATTATTTAATTCAGAGTCGCCACTTGGGAGATTTATGGTGTCCCAAGTCACCAGTTGAATCCTGAATCGAGGAAAAGATTGACTCTGTATTATAGTTCGCGAACCAGAAATTCGAGTAAGGAATTCTGTTAACCCGGGAGAAGGTGTTAGGCATTCCCGAGTTCCGGGGTTCTAGCACGAAAATCGCTCAACTGTTATATTTGGCTTAAATATCTGATTTTAATACATGCTGAACCTATGTGCAAATTTTACCTCTTTACTGCTTTTATTCATTTTAATTATTATTTTTAAGAGAATTGCAACGTCATTAAAACACGTCTTGAACCACGTCACATCAATGCACCTGTGATTTTTTGGACACGTTTTAACGTCGCTGAGATTTGGATTTGGGTCGCATAAATGCGCACTCGAGTTTAGGGAGGTAATGTTATTAAGATACGCGCCTAAAGAGACTAGCACGTTATTATTTTGGACGAGGCCATGAAATTTCGCTAAACGGCTCGTCCCAGAATTTAAGTATTTTAAAACAAATATTTATTGAGGGCCCCGCAATTTTGTATTTTTTATTCGGCGAGGCTCATCTCATTTTTATTCAAGGATATCCTAAAGCGACTATGATTTTCTATTTATTTGTCTCTAAGAATAAAGAAAAATCCTAATCAATTAGCATTAAAAGTTCGGGCTTCAAGTTCAAGTCCTGGTCCAAACAAAAGGAAACACCTTCTGGTTTGAACCCGCTACCTAACTTAAGATCCGCCGCTTGCCGTTGTAAATATTAACAAACCAGCTACCATTTCGATCCAGTTCAACTTTAGCTTTATTATATGAATTGGACTATTGGAATTAACTATGTGGAATACAAGGCCATTTTTGAGCTCTTTTTACGATTTGTTGAAAAATGCATTAATGCTTAAAAACTGACATCAAGTTAACATTAATCACTAACATTAGTTACTAACATTATTTATATTGCTATTTAAAATGATGTTATTTACTCAAGTGAACTCGCACATGCTGATTTTCATAAACTATTTGAACCTGTTTTGTGATATAAACTATTTGAAACTATTTCGCGACCACTGAAAAAAAGAATTAAATACAGTATATTTCATAACTAGTAATCACCAACTAAGATTAAGTACAATTGATATTCCATGTTTGTTGAAATAGATTCAATCAATCCAGCTTATGCATTCCAAAGTCATTCCAATACATACTATGAAATATCAAGCGAACTACTGCTTATACATCAAATTAAACACAAAGAAACAGGAGAAATTCAGAAATCCATTCCAACAACTCTTTACTTCCTTTCCATTAAATTTGAGAGCTTTAGAACGTGTACCTGGATAATGAAAATACAAGAAGATGACGAAGCAGTCAGCAACAGTAATAACACAACAACGCAGTGACAAAACAACCTAGTGACAGATTAAAAAGGAAGGAACCAGCAGAGTTCCAGCAACACCCAATGAAAACAGTAGCCAATAACCAATAGCAAACTCAGGAAGAACCAATTGAAACCCCAGAAATACCAAACAACAACAGTACTAGTTCTGATATTCAGCAGTAAAAGAAAAGACTCACTTTTCAGTTTCTTAGCTCTCCAAACACTGAACCTTTTAGGATTAAAAACCAGCCTGTTTTTTACTCTAAAATTACTGAACTTTTAAATGTTAAAAATCTAACCTAAACTCTCTGAAAAAAAAACTGAAAGAGAACTGATCTTTTTTTCCTAAAAACCAGCCCTTTTCCTGTCTTGAAATGACCCTATTTATAACCCAAAAACAGGTATGTGCAACATATTTTAATCAATCCTTTTTAAGCTTTTCATACCGTTATGTTTTATTCCCCACACTTGCATGTCTTGTTTCCCACACTTGCATGCCTTGTTCCCCACTAGCAAATGTCTTGTTCCCCACTAGCAAATGTCTTGTCCTCCACTATGTATTAAACAATGCCTTATTTTAATATTATTAGTACTTAGTGGACAAAGCACTCAAATTAATCATTTTTAAAACTTTAAATCCCAAATTACCCCAGAAACTATTGAAATTACCATTCTACCCTATCAGCTATATCCAATCCGCCTAATCAATTAAACAAACTATAGCAGCTATAACCAATCTTAAGTGAGAAATCCTAACAATTGACTAATTAAACACATGAAACTAACTACCAATCAATGACTGTCACACCTCCTTTTTCCGCGCCCGGGAGGGCGCAGGGGGAGTTTTTTTCAATTAAAGGACAATCGAAACGGGATTGGTTTAATTATTTCAGAGT